CCACTCTCTTATTATTTATAGGTTATGTTCAGTACATAATGGAAAGGACAGATCTGCCCTTAGTACTTACATGATAAATAAAGTAAATAAAAACTGAATTAACAAACTGACACTACTATAACTGAAACAAATAACTACACATGCTGTCCTACGAACACAGTGGGGACCACTTTTGTGGGGCCCACATCAGTGTTCTCTACAGGAACAAATGATGTGGTGGTCACTCATCTACAGTTTGTAGATGATACAATGATCTTTTGTGATGAGTTCAATCTGCAACAGGTTGAGAAGGCTAAGGCTGTCTGTAAACCTCTTCAAAAAGATTTCAGCTTGAAGATTAACCTCGAGAAAAGTTGTGTAGCAGGGGTAAACTTAGTTGAGAGGGAGGTAGAAGCAATCATAGAGACCTTAGGTTGTCAAACTAGTGAGCGGCCTTTGAAGTATCTAGGTCTGCCTTTAGGAGGGAACCCAAGGAGTGTGAGTTTTTGGACTCTGGTCGTAGAAAGGTTTGTAAAAGATTAGCAGGTTGGAAGCAGAATTACACCTCTTTAGGTGGTAGATTAACCTTGATCAAGTCTACCCTGGCGAATCTTCGGTGTATTACCTCTTTGTCTTTAAGATTCCCCAAAAAGTGGCTAACTTGCTGGAAAAGGTAATGAGGGATTTTCTTTGGGAACCTGGAGAGGAAAAGAAGGATCACTTGGTGAAGTGGGAAGTAGTGAGCAGAAGGAAAAAGGTGGGTTAGGGGTGGGGAATGTGACATGCAAGAATCAAGCATTTCTAGGTAAATGGTTGTGGAGATTCCCCTTGGAGAGTGAGAAACTATGGCACAAGGTAATAGCTAGTCTACATGGATTGTTGCAAAATGGCTGGGATGTTGGATTCTCAAACAGAACTACCTTTTCCTCTCCTTAGAAAGCTATTCATGCAGTTCTTCCCTGCTTCCTCGAGCAAGTTAGGTGTGATACTGTGATTCTTATTTAGGGTCTAGAATTTGGTTTTGGGAGGACCTTTGGGTGGGTGATCCTACTCTTAAAGATGCTTTCCCCTCTCTTGATTCATTATCTTTGTTTAAAAAACCTATTTCTTCTTTTTACTCCATTTCTGAGGGAGTGGCTTGGAATTTGGGTTTCAGAAGAGGATTAAGAGAGGCTAAATATGTCTTAATCTTCGAACTGTTGCTCATCCTTGATTCAGTTGTTGTTTTTCCCTCTACCCCAGATGAAAGAATTTGGATCCTGAACCGTAAAGGTTTCTTCTCTTGTGCCTCCTTTTATTCTTTAGTTGCTCAAGCTCCTTTTGAGTCTTCTTTTCCAATGAGTGAGGTTTGGACGTTTGGTGCAAACCAGTTCCCCTAACTGGTGCACACTCTGTAAGGCAAATGGTGAGACTGCTTATCACATTCTAATTTCCTATCCATTTGTAACCTCTATTTGGGAGTGGTTCTTTGACCTCTTTGAGTCCAGGTGGAGCCCACATACAAGCTTACCTAGTCTGTTTGCAGGTGAATCTTCAGGTGGCCAAGGAAAAGAGGAAGAATTTTATGGAGATGTACTAGGGCTGCTGTTGTATGGACAGTTTGGGAAGAAAGACATGCGAGACTCTGCAAGGATGAGGAGAGAAATGTGGAAGTAGTTTTAGATTGTATCCTCCTAAGGGTGATTCATTGGGTTAAGTCCTTGGACTTGTTCTCACCATTCTTCTTTGACAATATAAAAATGAATTGGAGGGAAATGGCCTTTTCACCTACAAGAAAGACTAGAATAGTTCAGATTTGGAAGCCACCATCGGAAAGCTTTATAAAACTCAATTTTGATGGGAGCTGTTTTGGAAACCCAGGCCCTTGAGGTTAGGAGGGGTATTCAGGGATAAAGATGGAACTATTTTAGCTTTATTCTTGGGTCCTATTGCTCAAGGAGATTCAACTAAAGCTGAATTGTCTGTTGTGTTGTGCAGGGTCCAATTAGCAGAAAAACTAAATTTTAGAAGATTGTTAGGAAGGCAGCCTGGATTTACCAAGATTTGGTAAAGAAGATCAAGTGGCATCTTTCAGTGGATTCCAAGGGCAGAAGGGATGCTTATGGGATGGCAGATTCTCTAGCAAGGCAAGGGGTTGTAAGGGAGCAATTATTTTGCGCTCAGCTGTTTTAAGGAGCAAGTGTTTCACCTGCACCTGTGGGCTAGGGGTGGTTAGGTGGAATAGACTCAATGGAGAGAAAGATGGTGTTTTCTCTTCTATTGATCAACAAAATATTGTTTTTCTCTTCTTTCATTTGTGTCCTTGTACATGTCTGTAGTTGTTACCACTGCCACTGTTGTTTTCGTCATTGTTGTTTTGATCATTATGAAAACATCTGTATTCTTCCCATTCTCCAATGATGTGTGTTGGTTGTTCAACATGTACTTAAATCTCTGTATTTTATTTTTCATGCAGTTAATATACAGGCCCGACACTGGGGAGATTCTTGGGGTTCACATTTTTGGATTGCATGCTGCAGACCTCATCCATGAAGCATCCAATGCAATAGCCTTAGGAACACGTATTCAGGTAAATCTTATGCTTCAAACTGAAATCTTGAATAATAGCCTTAAAAGGAAATTGATTTGGGCACATCACTGGTGAAAAATGCAAGAAAAAACTCCAATTGTAATTATAGAAATTAAGAAAAGAAGGTATTGTTTTTTTTTTTCTTTTTAGAACAATTACTTTTGGGTCCCCCCCCCAACACAAAAAATGAGATCTGCACACATCACCCCAATAAAAAGAACTTTCCTTCCTTTTTGTGTATAAGATGTGGGTTTAAGCAAGACCCTCCCAAACTATGTTAATCAACAAGAAACAATGACAAGCAAGCACAGATGCCTTTCTTCTCAATCCTTACTACAACATATGTATTAGTAAGTGAAAATGATGTGATAGTGTCTCATGAAAAGCATGATGCCTTTCTTCTCAACCAGATGATTTGTCTTGCCAAAATGAGACAGCTTTCTATAATTCAAAAAGAGCCAACTGGTGCAAGATAGAACTCAAGGTCATCCAAGGCTCCCAAGGGCATGGATAAACCTTACCTGTGCCATTAGCAATGGTAGAGAGTTCTCTAAGAATAGCTTTAGCTCAAGCAAACGAGTGTTTTCTTTACATGTACTCAGAGAAGCCACTACTGGAATTTCCATTAGTATCATGGAATAGGCCTCTGTAACCTGACTTTCATTCCCAGTATGGCAGTAATCAGGATGTGATTATGAGAATTCTGTTTATGTGGTAATGTACAAGAACTCTTCCCAGAAGTAAATTTTCTTATTTGTGCAACTTGCAAGTTATCATTGTTACACCATGGGAAATACCATAAAGGTGCTAAGCACTAGGCTCAATATCTAGTGTTTTGTCTTTCTTTAAGAACTTCACCTTACGTAGGCCAAAGTAATTTTTTTCTTCCCTGAAGTATGATGAAGATGAACAATCTTGTTTCATTGTTGTTGTTGTGTGTGTGTGTTTGGTAAATTGATGGAACACGTTTTGTATTGCCTAGTCATTGTTTGCACCTCTGGCACTGTGCAGGACATAAAATTTGCTGTTCATGCACATCCAACTTTGTCTGAAGTGCTGGATGAACTCTTTAAATCAGCCAAGGTATGTGACTGATCTTCTATGTTGACTAAGCATGACTGCACTGTGTATTTCACGGATTGTCCATGAAATATGACAACTGACGTTAAGTAAAATGACCAACATACTCTAAAATAAAAATATTAAAAAATCAGAAATAGTCCTACATTGATGGAGGTATATAATTATAACTATATGTTTACTCTAGAAAACAAAAGGAATGGATTAAATCGAATGTCAATCATCCAAAACTAGGCTATCCCAAGTTATTCCAAATGATGGTTGAGTTTTGATCATTATTATCTTTGACATACAGAATGAGTATAGGGTGGAAGTTATCCTTCTGTCTTCTGAATATCTCCTTAGTAGTTTGATTCTGAAATTACATCATCTTAGCAGAAGTAATTAGCTTTTTGCATGCTTTCTACAAGGGTGCTTTTTCTTATGCTATTCAAACCAGTACTTATTGAGGCCAGTGGTAGAAAAACTTTTCTTTTTTCTTTTTCATTTTCCTCTTCTATTTTTATGCGGCAGGTTAACTCTGGTGTTTCTAATCCAGTCAAGGAGCCAGTTGCAATCTAAAGCTTCTCAACATAGGTATAAATTTGGGAAGAAAATTAATTGTATTACAGGGCCTTTGGAAGTTGTGCACCTTCTCAGAGGAAACCAAAGCAATTGCTACAGTATGAAACGCCTAGTAAATCTCACCACAATTTTGTCCATTTTATTAAGTTATTTTCATATTATATTTGATTTTTTTTTAATATTTATTAACTTGTGCAACTCTGTAACAAAAAGAAAAAGAGGCAATAAGTATTATTGGTCCCAGAAAGCCATAATTTGCTGTTATGAATTATATACACCGTTTAGAAGCCTCTGTATAGTTAATAGCCAATATAACATCTGGATATTGTTCTCTTTGCACCACAACCAGTGTAACATACTACCAGTGCAAAAATTACCAAACAAAACTTCATTTGCACAGATGGGCCCAAGATACAATACGTCTAATATGGGATGTATATCTGCATCCAAAGGTGTAGATATGTGGTATGGGTAGAAAACAGTACAAAACCACTAAAAGTTACAGCAACAGTCGAGACTGCTGACACAAGTCAAAAATGCTGATTCTTCAAATTTTTTGACAGTTTCTATAGGTTGTTCCAACCAAGGTTTTAAATATTGATACACTCAATACGTGTTGGGTGTTTAGGTGAACCTTTTTTTAATTTTTTTTTCTCATTCTCACAGAGGCCATGTTTTTTATTGTAGGAAAGAACTAAACGGATCTATCGATTATCTTTAAAATTTATTGATGTAACAATAATTTTTGTCAATGATTTTTCTTACATTTTAGGAAAATTTTGAAAAAAAAAACATTTATTTTATATATCTTGATGGTTTTCACGGTAAGGAAGTACCACAAGATGGATATATCAATGATCTATCAAACTCATTGATCCAACAACAATTTAATGTGTATTGTAGTGAATTTTTAGTAAATTAGAAGCTTAAACATATTTGATGTATAATCAGTAAAGTTATTGTATGATATGTATCTATTCTAGATTTGTTGATTATAATGTATCTCTTCATATAATCAAAGTTTGCTTTTTTTAAATGTTTGTATTTTATTCATATTTATTTTAACTTTAGATTTATTGCTATTGATGTATTTGTGGGATTTGTAAGAGTGTTTCAATGTATCCAAGTGCATCCATATCTTTTCACGTATCCAAGCATATCCAAAGTGTATCACCATTTGTATCTGTATATTGGTCCTATGTATCAGATTTGTGTCTGAGAATTTTCTATTTGCACGTGCTGTACCCTCTCCTTTTTGCTCATGGGAATCTGCTGAAGTGAAAGCCTTCCTTAATGGCATTAGGATGGCAAGAGACCTGGATCTTTTACACATTTTGACTGAAGGCGATGCTGAAAACGTTATTATATTCTGTTGGACAGTATGGCGCATTCAGTCTTTGATTGTGGACTGCAGAAATCCTATTTGCCTTCTTAACAACTGTGTGATATGTCAAATCCCAAGAAATTGCAACTCTATTGCTCGAAAGTTGACGGGATTGGCTACCTGTACTCGTTCAATTTCTTGGTCCTCCACATAGGAGTGTCAATTGACCGGTTTTGGGTTGGATCCAAACCGATCTAAATCTTTTCAAGTCGGATATGGATTGTCTATTATAGTTGTTGGATTGGGTCAACTTAGAATAAAATCGTCTGAACCAAGGTTCAAAATATTGATAAGCCCAATACACCGGTATGGGTGTGTCAGGCGAATTGATATTTTTTTTTTTTTCAAACAGGTTCAGGGGGGTAGTTTAGGTTTCCTCCACACCCTGAACTGGTCAGACCTCCGACACACCCACTATAGGGGTTTATCAAAGGGGTCCCATAACGATACGTATCAGCTAATACGGGCCGATACACGTCAATACTTTAAACATTGATCTGAACTCTTGTTGGTTTGAGTCGGCCCTAGACCAAAACTCCAATAGTTTGATCGCCTAACCCTATTGCATCAGCGGCAAGAAGACTATTGGCGAAGGCAGACGTGTTCAGCTTCGGAGTTGTGGTCCTGGAGTTGATCAGCGGCCAGAAGAACTCTACGTTTTACCTTGACATGGATTGCCAAAATCTACTAGACTGGGTGAGGACTCCAACTTGCACCAACATCCTCTACCATAACTTACAGCAGGGTCTATAATTGTATTGTACGAGGGTGTCCTCATGTGGGATGCCATGCTCCCTTCCCTTATGAAGGGTTTTGAATCGAAGGGCGGAACTCGGAAGGTGGGGGGCCTCGCATCGCATGAATCAGTCAGAGTCACTTCACCATGAGATGATGAGAGTGACGCCGTGAGCCCTGAGCCGTCCTTGACAGTTGAGACCACCCGAATTCGCTCAACTTCTGAAATCAATGTTGTCATGATCTGACCAGGAGACCACCGGGCTGGTCTGAATCTTACAACATTGTCTGAAATTGGATGATGCCAGGGGCCCAGGGCTACGGCTGACATATTGGCGTATTGGGCACAACCAACCGTACGTTTGGAGTATATGCAATCCTGTCACTGTCAGGAACAGTAACACCCCCCCAATTCGGATGCTTGATCACGTGAACCCTGTTGAAATGTCAAATAGCTCCAACAATGTGGCCATTTAGTTTGGACTGGATTTGGTAATCCAAGATCTGGTTTGTATTGGATTTGGACCAGTTCATTTGAAAATGGACTAATGATGGAGTGGATCGGATTGGACCAAATCTAGTCCAATTGACAGCCCTACGCTTCGTTACTAGTGTAGTGATTATTAAACAGCGCTCTGAATTCTCTTGTTCAAAAATGCAGGGGATATTTAAGTAGTTTTCGCCAATGTTCAAAATATCGATACGCCCAATATGCCAGTATGGGTGTATCGGGCGAATCGATACAGCTTTTCATACTTTTTTTTTATTTTTTTTACAACCAGTTCAGGGGGCGGTTTAGGGCTCCACCCCCTGAATCGGTCAGACCCCCGATACACTCACTATAGGGGCGTATCAGAGGGGTCCCGAAATCATACGTATCAACCGATATGGGCCGATACGTGTCAATACTTTGAATCTTGGTTTTCGCAATTAGTATATCATATTGTGGAAGCTTAGCGTTGTTTGAATTGTTTTTGCACGGTAAGCTTGTATGAGTTTATTCAAGTTTAATAGGCCTCCAAAGCTCTATCCATAGGAATCCTTTGAGGTGTTGCGCATTTGATAAGCATTAGGGGTGTCCATGAAAAACCGAACCGAACTGAGAAAATTGAATCGCAAAATGCGATTAACCAAACCGGCTGGTTTGGTTCCGATTTGGAATTTTTGAAAAACCGAAGGACTGGTTCGGTTTTTGGTTAACCTATAAAAAAATCGACGATTAACCGAACCGACCGGAATATATATATTTATATGTATATTTTATAAATATTTTTAATATATGTCGCATATTTTCTATGTATTTTATATTATATATTTTTAAAATATCTATAATATATTATATATCATTTATTATTTATAATATAATATTATATATATTTATATAATATATATTATAAATATAAAAAACCAAAAAATCGTAAAACCAAACCGATCAAAAATCGAAACCAGCAAACCAATTAACCGATGGTACCGGTTCAATTTACAAAAAAGGGTCATGATTTGATTAACCGAACGGTGGACACCCCTAATAAGCACTACATTCCTCAACTGCCAAATCGCCCAATGGCTGGCAGTTGTTTCTCCAATTGGAGTTGGCATATTAACCCCAATCAAATAGTTGGTTTGCCAATCGCCCAACGGCTGGTAGTTGTTTCTCCAATTGGAGTTGGCATATTAACCCCAATCAATAGTTGGTTTTATCAGCAATTTGTTTCGTCACCATTATTAAATCTAAATATCTAAACTTGTTAAATTATCTTATATTCATCCTGCATTGCATGGTTATTGTATGGTTTTTGAACCATCATTGGCCCAGACGGTTGAACTGTTTAGTCCGAAAATTATTCAAACAATCGATTCTATTTTACTCCTAAACTACTCTTTTGTCAAAAAAACTGTTAATTTGATCAGTGATCTACTAACCCATTTGATCCAAACAACAGTTTTTGACCATTTTTTCTTTAATTATTTTTTATATTTTAAAATTAACAGACCATTTGTTCGAACTAAATGGCACATAAACCGAACCACTAATCTAAAAATCGGTGGCCAAAGTGGTTTTAATTATGGGTCGATTTTTTAAACATTGCTGCATTTCTTTTCGGTGATTAGTGTCGTTGGGTGTTCAGCCCGGTACCCCATGGGCCCATTATTATTTATTATTATTTTATAAATGTAAGGACATTGAATCCGTTAGCACAATAATAGCAGACACATAATGTACAATCAAATCCATTATTTACAAGTGCACTCTCTGTTTTTAAGCCCAAAACGAAACCGACTTCAGTCAGTGCACGCCCATACTCACTGTTCGAACAGCCTCTCGAAAATATCTCTCCATGAAATAAAATAAAGTATATAAGTACGCCCAATAAAAGGCTTGTAAAGAGTGTTCGAACAGGCCACGCACTGACTGAAGCCGTAAAGCTCGAAGAATAATCAAAAAACAATCAGTTTTTGGGACGTTTGACGATCAAAACAGGGCACTTGACGTGCTGGGCACAGTAATCGCTCACACTTCCAAGAACAGTCCTGCACGTCCAGACACAAACAACAAGTCAACAATCATAATCCGAGCTTTAGCAATTAACATCAACAAGCAAATGAAGCCAAACCCAATTAACCAATGACGATCATGAGACACAGAGGTTAGTGTACACTACGTAAAATTTACTTCATATAATTTATGGCAGTGCTCCATATATGCCTACCTCTTCAAAAAGCCATAGCCATGGCTTCCCATCACCAACATATCAGCTCCTAACTTTTTCACTGTCATACATATCACCTCCCTCGCATCTCCACTCCCTACTTTCCTCTCCACTTTGATCTGAAACGTTTATAAAAAGTGCTCGATTAATCAAAGGAAGGAAAGCATGAAAACAGAGTTCTGAAAGAAGAAAAGAAAGAAACAAGGATATAACTAACATTAGTGTAATCCTTGTAGATGGATTCGGCTCGTTTCATCACGGAATCAGCCAAGTCTCTGCTATATTTCTCCATGGCTGCGATGACATCGCCGGAGAAAAAGTCATGTGTGCCGTCCAGGGAGGAGTAGAGGGGAGGTGGGGGCTTTGCATAGAGGAGGATGAGGGTAGTCTGGGTATCGGGAGAGATGAGGTTTCTGAGACACCAAGACAGAGCGTACATGCTTTCCTCGCTTTCATCCACAGCAACCACTACCCTCTGCTCTTTCGCTTCAAATTCAGCCATCGAGACCTCCGCGTGCGGATCCTCTTTGATTCAAGAGAAAACAACCACCACAGATCAACAGTAGAGTGTTGATGATCGAAACTGAACCAGGTTTTCTTTATAGGCGGTGAATCGGCGGTTTCTGGTTTGGGGTTCGCAGATTTTTTATTTCGGAGAAGTACGAAAACACCCGATGTAGAATTCTGAATTCCAACCCCCCTCCTACTACTAGCCTCTCTCCCTATAAACCACATCCTGTCCGTGAATATTCACTGTCAGATGCATTCCCCCTGTTGAAGCTATAAAATTTTAATCTGGACTGATTGGTCATTCTCCCTTTTTATTTAGGCTGCGGTTCTGCGGTTTTAAGACAGACGGGGATGGAATACTGCGGCTTTCGAGATTAGGTTTCATAACGATAAGTATCGTATGTCCTGGCGCACGGTGTGTCAGATCTGACTGGCACCATTTTTTAGCTATGTTTGGTATTACTTATTTAATCACTTATTCAAATAAGTATTTAAGGTAATTAGAGTGGTATTGAAAAATAAATATTTATTCATGTTTGGCAAAAAATAAATATTTATTTGGTAAAGTTATAGCTAGAGCCGGTTCAATATTTCAAATTATGATGTAGGTCTGGTTAAAAATCAGCAAAACTTGAGCCTTAAAAGGGTGTAAGTCTCTTTAGTGTTTTAAAGCAAAAATACATATTTTATGCATTTTTTTAGTTCAAAATACCTGGAATAAGCACTTAAATAATTATGGGTCAAATATCAAGAGGAGTTTACTGGTTGAGAATTAGGATCAACTTAATTTCCTGTTTGGGTGATGGTTCATAGATTTGAATGATTGAGTTGAACTTGAACAATTAAACCAAAAAGAGGAAGTTAGCATCTATGTGCCATAAGATAGTAGCATATCAGATAGAGAGATAGTGAAAAGTGATAGAAAAACTTGTGTGTTTTGACTTTATTCACATCCCTTTTATAGATCTTGGAGAGTCATCACCAACAGAAATGTGTAGGTTTGAAGAGTCTCTTTGTACAGTCATGATTTCAAACTTTGTAATTGTTCTCAATTAGTTAACGGTTAGTGGCCATTAATATTTAAATGTTGCCCATTAGTCACACTTGATCAAATTATAATCATTAGGTTAACTTAAAGCATCAACGGTCATGGTTCGGCCTTCAAACCAAATGCACCCTTAAGTGCGGATCAAAAGGAAATACGATTTCGTTGTAATTTTGCAAATCACACTTCTTGTATTTTGCAAATCACAAGGTTTGCTATCTGCGATTTTGCAAATCGCAAAGTCTATGACATTAGATTTTGTAATTCGTAATGTCTGTGATTTGCGATTTTACAAAATTCATAGTCTATGATTTGCAATTTTGCAAAATCATTGTCTATAATTAATGTGTCATTGCAAACCTTCTCATTGCATAAAGTATCATCACATTAAAAATATAATTAGCTTTCCCGAACTACACAAAATGTAAACAAAGTATGCCTCTAAAGTACCTTATTATGCCACATGCATGTTCATGCATATACTCTCCTCTCTATAACTTCACAGAGTACAAACAAGCTCCTACATAAAAACCAAGACTTAAAAGAAGAAAAAACAAGTAAAGCATAGTTTTATTAAGAACTTCAAAACCAATATTCAATATGCATGTGAAGTATGTTTTTTTCCATGTAATTTATTAATTAAACCCCATTGAATTTTAATCTTCTAGAGAAATTAAAGTCCAACAGTGTCACTCTCTATGTTTCAATCCATTGTAGCCTATTGTGGTGTGATTCACATTCTATCAAGAAATTGTGTACTATGATTCAGATAGTTTAGATGTTTTATTAGACAAAATTTTCAATAATCTTATTAATTTATTTAATTTATTAAATACTTCACCAAAACAAAAAAGATTGCATCTGTCGCAAGAGGTCATATCATCGCCCCATAGAGTGTCCCAATGTGAACTATTGCAAGATGGTTGAATTAAATCCAGGCCATAGTGCTATAATGTAAATTCAACCGGACTACGCTTCAAATGAACTCTTTTTGGCACCGTAACGTGGATTAGAATTCATTGAGCCGTGCCATTTTCAAAAACAACCCCTCGATAGGTCCCAAAAAGAGTAGGCTTGAACGGGACCCAAGATCACTTTTGCAATCGTAATTGCTATTCGTATAGGATGTGTAAGTAAAAATATATTATGTGCATGGATCCATGGTTTTTAAAACCGGACCAGATGGTCGGATTGGAAAAACCGGGAATCAGTCAGGTGATCAGTTTCATTTTTTGTCAAAACCGGATTTTGGCCAAAAAATGTTGCGGTTGAACCATTCAAATCGTTCAACAGTTTTGACTTTTTTTTTATTTTTTTGTCAAAATGGGCCAATCGTTCGTTTGGACCATTCAACCCAGGAACGGACCCCTGACCGGTTCATTCTCTAGATCGGTTTTATAAACATTGCACGGATCAGTTTAAAACTATTAATCGTTGTAAATTGGAAATTGTGATTATTCATGTAAATATTTACATTGTTTTTATCAATATTATATTTACATTGATTATTGATGCAAAACTCAATCTGAGTGGAGTTTTATATGAATTTTGAATGTTTAACTACACTCCATCCAAACACCGACAAATACGGATCAGAATGTTAAATTACACCAATTCATATTTACACCTCAAACCAATGTTTTAAAAAATAAGCCGAAAACGAAACCATTTTGGCCACCAGTTTCCAAGTCGATGGTTTGACCGTCTAGAGGACAGCCCGTTCTGGCAAAAAAATTAAAAATAAAAAATGGCCAAAAACCATTGAACGGGTCAACGGTTTGACCACCCAAGTCAATAGGTTATTGACCTTTTTAACGGTTTTTTGCCAAATACCAGATTTGGGGTAAAATGAAACCGGTTGCCTAAACAGTTCCTAGGACAAATGGTCTAACCGTCCAAGTTAACAGTGGTTCGAAAACCATGTGTCAAACAAATACAGCATAGGTGTAATGTGGACTATACTAGGCCGAGACGTCATGGTTTTGTTGCGTTGCCCATACTGTAGTAGGTTGTGCTAGCTCGACCCAATAGATCAAGAGGGCATAGCACAAGCCCATATGGACCACGGGCTATGTCTACCCATGGGCTTCAAACCCCAGGCCCAACCTGGCCCATGTAGCACCATGAGTCCAGCCCATGGGCAGCCCGACCCATTTTACACCTAATCAAACTTACCCAACTCTCAATTATATCCATAGTCATTTAAGAATATCCTAAGGCTCCATTTGGTTTGTGGAATGGGATGAGAAAAAGAGAATACTATAAAAAAAATTCTTTGATTTTATTTCGAAAGAAATAGACGGATGGGATGAGAAAAATGTGGGATGTCAGACACCAAAAACCTTGCGACCCAATAATTTGAAAAATTACTGTTACAGATACCAACGACGCCAAAATATTTGAGAAATCACCGTTCATCGTCCAGTACCTCCCATTCCCCATTCGAACCAAGAAGCAGCGGCGGCAGCACCCCCTCTCTATTAAGAACTAAGAAAGAGAAGGGACAGATATTGAGGAGAAAGAAATTATCTTATACAAACTGAGAACAACATTGGCTATTTAAATAGCCTTACATAACAAACTGAACAAGAATTAAGCAACCCATGTCTAACAACTCCTAGGAACATGGTAAGACTAAAACAAACAAATAATGACACCCTTAAGAATAGGAATTTATTGGACTAAGCAGTAACAAACCAACTCAACATTTCCTCCCTTAAACTGAATGCCATAAGCATCAGTTTATATCATTTTCAGAACAAACTCCTAATGATGCTCGCAGCTTCAAGAAAACATCTAGCTTGGGTGGTTTTGTCATTATATCAGCTAATTGATCTTGTGTGCTGCAATAAACTAATTCCACAGGACCAGCCTTTGTGAGCTCTCGGAGGAAATGAAAATGCACATCTATATGCTTACTACGACCATGCATTACTGGATTTTTCGAAAGCTTGATTGCAGAACTACTATCACAATTAATAATAGTTGTCTTGCCTTGATTCAGACCCAGTTTTTCCAGCACTTTTTTCAGCCATACTGGTTGGCAAGCACACGAAGCTGCAGCGATAAATTCAGCCTCAATGGTAGATAGACTTACTACTGGTTGCTTTTTTCATAGCCAAGATAATGCTCCTGAACTCAATAAAAATACATAACCTGAAGAGCTTTTTCTATCTTCCAAATCTCCAGCATAATCACTATCTGTGTAAGCAATAAGTTCATTGTTTCCTCCCTTCTTATAGAAGATTCCAAAGTCAAGTGTTCCCTTCAAATATCTCAGCACCCTTTTTGCCACTTGTAAATGAAGCTTAGTAGGATTCTCCATATACCTACTTATAAGACCAACTACGAACATCACATCTGGTCAAGTAGCAGTTAGATACATGAGACTACCCACCATCTGTTTAAAGTGAGTCTTGTCTACCTTAACTCCACCTGCATCCTTCACCAGCTTACAACCTGGAACAATAGGATTGTGAACTGAATTGCTTCTATCCATTCCAAACCTTTGCAGCACCTCTAACGCATACTTTTTCTGATTAATAAACACACCATTTGATTTCTGCAACACTTCGAGACCAAGAAAATACCTCATTTTTCCAAGATCAGTCATGTCGAACTCATGCTTCATGGATTCTTTAAATTCTGAGACCATCAATTCATCATTTCCAGTAAAGATGAGATCATCAACATACAAACTGATAATCAAAACTTTACCTTCTTTTCCTGTCTTGATGAACAAAGTATGCTCGTAGTCACATCTTTCAAAACCTTCTTTCATGAAATATGCTTCTATACGACTGTACCAAGCACGAGGTGCTTGCTTAAGCCCATAAAGTGCCTTTTTTAATTTATAAACCTTGTGCTCATGTCCTTTTTGCACATAACCACAAGGCTGTTTCACAAGAACCTCTTCTTTTAACTCACCGTAGAGAAACGCAGACTTTACGTCGAGCTGATAGATAGCCCATCCTCTTTGAGCTGCAAGAGCCACCACCAAATGAATTGTTTCCATACGTGCCACAGGTGCAAATACTTATGTATAATCTACTCCATACTGCTGAGAATATCCCTTCACTACAAGCCTCGCCTTGTACTTGTCTACTTCTCCATTTTCATTAAATTTTGTTTTATAAATCCACTTCACTCCAACTTTCTTTTCGCCTTCAGGTAACTCCATTAATTCCC